TTTAAAAAGTAAGAAATACTTATTTTGCGGCTGTATGTACAAAATGCTATGTCTGTTTTCTGGAACTTGTTTTCCATAGGGGAAGTCTCAACCAAAGAGCTTCAAGGTATGTAATTTGAACTACTTGCCTAACTACTTGCAGAAAATACCACTTATTTCCATAGAGCTTTGATATTATGTTCTTCTGCTATCTTGTACTGTTAATTTAGCTAAGGGTAATCAAAAATATGCATTTGCAGGGTTTTTTTTAGACTAGCTAGGAAAGAGTTGCACTAATCTATTATTATATGTTACTACTGTTTTTACAGAAGATTTAAAATTTAAAGTTAAAATTTTAGCTTCATGTGTCTGAATTTCTATATACTTAAAAAAGTCAAGTTGGATTTGAAAACTTTTGTATCAGAACACACCAACTTGGTACGTATAATACAGAAATATGACCTTTATAATTTATTCTAGCTCACAGGCACACTGGTCTTGTTCCTGATCTGGCAGTGGAACCTTAGAATACTTGACTTAATTACTAACCTGCTAAATGCTAAACAGTGACTCAAATTCAGCAAATAATTTATAGTTTTAGTTAAATACTGAAGTTCGGGTGATTTAGAGCTGTCAATTGTACTCAAATTTGTACAAGCAATTAAGTTACCTCTCAGTTTTATTTCCAAGGAAAATAGTGAGAAAAGGTAAGAAAATTTCTAACCATTGCAATTTAAATATTTTATTACCAGAATATAGCTGTATTCAACATGTATTTATAGCAAGAATTAAAAACTTAATTTTTCCTTGTGCATAAAGCCTCATTCACAAATTGAATTACTATTAAGGAATTTCTGTATTTATCACAGAAAATCCATGTGTGTATTCCTTATAGGAACGCAACTGGAAAGTTCCAAAGCAGTAGGGAAAACAAGAGAAAAATTAATTGAAAACAAAACCCCTTTACAAAACAATTCATTAAAGTATTTTTCCCACAATAATTAAGAGTAAAATCCCAAGGGAAATTCATATAGAAATGCCTTTTGCAGTTGGAATTTTTTTTTTCAGTTTCTGTTATACTTGAATTTGTTCACCTTACATGGATAGTTTACAAAACAAAATACACCTTTTTATGTGCGCATGCAAGGCAAGATGCGTGAATGCAAAGATTCACATACAAAAACCAGTAAGCATAGGTCCTGTTAGATCCAGGTGGTAAAAGAAGGAACTCAAAGAGAAGGCAAAGTCTACTCAATGAGAATTGCCCAGTGCATGGGCCCTCTTTCTTTCTATTAGTCACTGTAAATTTAGCGTCTTCCCCTGATACCTTTCCATTTCTGTCAGAATTCCAGCCCACTTTATTTTCTCCTAGTATCCCTTATGTGTTTTCTTAAAGGTTGTTAGTCACATATTTATAAAAACTCATTTACAGAAATACAAAATAAAATACGACTCTGAATTCACCACACTGGAAAAATCTAAAGAAAAAGCTTTGCACTTTGCCTAGCACTTTTTGTTACATTAAATTTTTGCTCAGAAAATTAATCCTGCCGTAAACTAGGATCTCTAAGGATATTTTTAATGTTATCACTCGGGAAGAGTGCTTATTCCCATAAACACTTCAAACTACTTTTTGCTAGCTTTACTCATCTACTCATTCAGTATGCCTTGTTTGGGATTGTGCAGCACTGAAAATCTAAGCTCTCAAATTTTCAAATATCAACTCTTTTCGTGAAAAATATAAGTGTAGCAAAAGATTCTGTTAAAAAAGCTTTAAAGCAAAAAAGGTCTAATTACAAAAGCTTCCAGATTCTTCAGAAATAGAACAGTAAATATATACAACGTTACAAGGAAATCATAACATAACCATAGTATAAATTTCAAAAACCATGTTATAGGCACAGATGTTGCCTACCTCTTCTAAGCACTGGTATCCAGATTGCTTTAGTCTCCACATCAAAGGTTGTACATGTGGACTAATACATGAGACATGAAAATAGAACTCACACAGCTCTTTTCTAAAGATCCTTCCCATAACTCTTATGCTTCATAACACAATTTTTTTACTCTGAAGGCCAAGGCACTTGTAAAGAAAATTTGTCAAATATACATGAGTAGAGAGAAATTAATAATAACCATCCATTTAACTAGCAACAGACTCAAATTACCCTATAGGAATGCAGTACCAGTAGTGACTGTGGCACACCTTGAGACAGATCAATAATTTTTATGTTTAATATGCACATTTGAGCGAATGCCATGAACCAATTTGTCCAGTTTATGAGAAATGTCTGATCAACATCAGATTTATTCTATTTTACCCTCCTCTTGTATCTCATGTAGTATCTCATATAATATCTGAAAATCACTTAAAGTCACGAGATGTATTTTGGTATTAATTCTAAAGTAATTTAACAGGCGTATTTCTTACTGTTTTGAGGGATTTGTGGGAATCCATTACAAGAATGTATTTATCTTCACAGCCTTCTGTGAGGAACCTCAGTTGTACCTCTATATTTAATATGTCAAAACTGTCAAAGAATAAATGTGACTGGAACTTACTAGGGAGCCATGGAATAGATCTCTATTCCTCCAGAGCCTAAAAAGGCAACAACAGTTGGATCACTTTTTTTTTTCTTCTTTTTGAGGAAATACAGTTGCAGACAAACACAGCTGTATCTTATTTTGAACAGAATGAGCCATTTTAAAGAGATTAAAGTAAACAGTCAGCTAGTTCTCCTCCCCTTCTACGCTGCCCAGTAAGAGCATACCTGGAATACTGTGTCCAGTTTAGGGCTCCCCAGTTCAAGAGAGACGGACCTACTGGAGAGAGTCCAACGGAGAGCTACGAGGATGATTTAGGGACTTGATCATCTCCCCTGTGAAGCGAAACTGAGAGACTTGGGGCTGTTTAGCCTTGAAAGGAGATGGCTGAGAGTGGACCTTATTAATGTATAAAAATATCTGAGGGGTGGGTGTCAAGGGGAAGGGGACAATCTCTTTTCATTGGTACCCAGTAAGAGAACAAGAAATAATGGGTTTAAGTTAGAAAATAGGAAGTTCCACCTCAACATTAGGAGGGTGACATCACTGTGAGGCTGACAGAGCACTGGCACAGGCCGCCCAGAGAGGTTGTGGAATCTCCTCTGGAGACTTTCAAAACCCACCTGGATTCGTTCCTGTGTGGCTGCCCTAGGAGAACCTGCTCTGGTAGGGGGGTTGGACTAGATGATCTCTAGATGTCCCTTCCAACCCCGAACATTCTGTGATTCTATGATTTTCGCTACACGCTACTTAAGCAAGAGCTTTAATCTATAAAACACAACCCCCTCCCCCACAAAAGCAGATGAACTAACAGTTACTGGTTTATGGCTTCCCAGTAACCATCAGCAAAGTAATTTTCCAAGAGCTCAGGAAAGCAAAGGTAGCTGCCTTTGTCCTGGGGAGAGATTGGGTGTGCAGAGCAATAGCTGCAACTGCTCTTGCCCCCTCTCTGGAACATCGGCAATAATAGCAGTAGCCTGTGTGTCTTCCCAGGATTCAGCCCAGGCAGCTTTGCTGTCTCTGGCAGTCTACTGCTCCATGCAACCTTACCTATGCATAGAACTAGCAGAGCATTAAATTATACATGTACATATTGTTTGTCTTTTTGTTAGCCTGCACACACAGAAAATATAACTAAAAATACTCACTTGAAGGCTATACATTTCTGTCACAAGATTTTGGTAGTAAACATAAAGATCTTTTGTTTACCTTATATCTTTATTTTTCTGTGTAATTCAATTCATTTACTGCTCTTTCCTATGCAGCATGTGTGCAGAACTGACAAATCAAGGCTGGTAGCTGTAGGTCTCAATCAGTAAGAGAAAACGTGGATTCAGAAACTGCTGCAAAATTTCTCTGTTCACTGGTGAGAAGCAGAAAGGAGGCTTGAGAAAGAAGCTCAAAGCAATTCCATCTAAAGTTCTGCTCCTTACTCCTTTTGTCCAATATGCAAATGCTCTGTGAGGTTCTTGCACTCCAAGTTCTCAAAGAGCTTTAGGAATAGAGCTGGAGCTCCAGTATCTGCCAACTGCTTTGACAACTCTGGTCAAAAATACTCTATGTTCAGTATTATTTAGCTTTATCAGCAGGACATCTGAAACACTGCAGGATCAGCCTGCATTGTTCCTTTTTTTTTTCTTAAATATTGCCCATTTATTCTTTAGCTAGAAAATACTAGGCCCTTCTTTTCACCTACTTTATCAATACTGACATTTGCTATTCACCAGTACTGTTACAGTTGAACAGGAATTAATGTGTCCTCTTACAGCTGTCTAAAATCTTGCACAAATAAGTAACTATTGACAAGTTATTTGCCTTAGGAAATAAAACAATCCCTTCTTTAACCCATACGCAATTTTCTGATGTAATTCAAGTAGAACCAAAATTCTATTGCCGCTTATATTTTCTGCAAATCTGAAAAGATTTTCTTAAATTTCAAAATAAAAGAACTGATGAAAATATTACCAAGCATAATATTGGATTCTTTTAAAAAATATATAAATTAGCCATACATTTTAAATAGACAGCTCTTGTTAACTAGTTTTGGAGGAGGTGTTACCAAAAGAAGAAATACAGTTGAGATGTTATTATGTCATATTTCATAATGAAATTTAGATTTCATTACCTTAAATTCATAAAATTTAATATTTTCTGGTAAAATTGATATTTGACTAACATTTAAGTACATACAGACATAGCATAAAATGAATGCACTTTCAATAGGAGCTATACATTTAAGTCCAACAACATACTTTTTTAATGAGATCATAATAATTTATTTCAAAATATCACCCTTCCTAGAATTAAAAAATTAAAATAGCCAGAGAACTGAAAATTCAAAAGGGTTAAGTAAATTAAGTTTTCTTCTCTCTAGGGTGACAGTCCTTGCAAGCACAACTTTTATCTTTATGCAGAACCTAAGTTTTATCAAAGTATTATTTAAAATCACAGGACTATCCATAAGGGAAGATACTTACAGATCCTACCACTTGAGAGGCACTCTGAAATTCATCAATATCTTCTGTACTTGTTTCAACTGTGGGTACTTGAGCTGTTCCAAAGAGGTAGAAAAGAAGTAAATCACTCTAATTAAGTAAGCATTAGTCACTCTGAAAATAAAATGCCTATAAATTAACTGCTGGGAAAGTAAAAGTAGCTACTGTAAATGCACTGCTTTTCAGTTACACTTCAATGGATTTTAATTTATGTCTGATTTTATGTCTGATTTATAAGCCTAATGCAATCTGGAACATTGTCTCCAACACGATTAGAGTGATAAGCAAGCTTCCTCCAGCTGACAAGGTGTCACATGGGTTATTTATTATTTTTACTAATAAAACTAAATACTGTTTGTCTTTTACACAAGTGAGTAGTGGATACTCAGCTTTAATAAAATCAATAAAATAAAATTAATTCTACTAAAGTGATTAGAATATAGTTAAAATCCTTGAGGTAATAAGTTCTAATCACTTTAGGCAAAGTTTAAAAGCTATGCAAGCTAAAAGTTTTATGCATATTGCTGCATTTGTAAAACAACACGACTTGGTGAGAAGTCTAGAATGTCTCTTTGACACAAATGTAATGACTTAAATTAGAAATTGTGTACCTATGTCAGAGAAAGCAATTTCCAAGTAACGTGCCTTGCAGTTTCACTCGTTGCCTGACAGTCTGCTAGGAACTTAAACGAAGTTCCTAAGCAGCCTAAGAAAACAGGAGACGACCTGATTTTTCCTAGGTTCTGCTGTTATTCTGCCACTTAGCAGGGAAGGCCTTATGTTTCCAGAGTGCCCTAATTGGTTAAACATCTCAGACTATACTTACCATGAAGAAGTACAGCAACTACGGTTACCACATTCATTGCAAACACAAGTGGAAGTGGAGGAAGAAGAGATGATGATGCAAAGTTGTGATCAGAGAACTATGCAGGAATTGAGAAACGCTGCTACGTTTTTGTAGCTGCAACATCTAGTTGTCAACCCTAATTCCCACATATTTGCATCCTTATAATTTTTTTGTACCCTGGTCATGCAGCTTCATCTGTAATAGCACTATACATTCCTATTTCTATTGAACATTATTAATTTCAAACTTTTCCTCTACATCCAAATACCTGTTTTGAACATTCTACTATATTGGGATTTAAAAGGAAAAAAACAAAAAGAAAAAAGTTGAAGCTACACGCCTTTTAGCTTCTATTTTTCAACTTTCTAGTTTCTACTGGATAGAAATGGGAGCTGGCTAATTCAAACTAAAGCAAGTGAAACAAGGCCCTATGATACCTATAGACACCTACTGTAGGTGATCCTGCTCTGGCAGGGGGTTGGACTAGATGATCTTTCGAGGTCCCTTCCAACCCCTAACATTCTGTGATTCAGTGATTCTGTAATTAACCTTTAGTAATATTACTTTTTTAATATCCCAATTTTTTAAAAAAAACCAAACCAAACCAAACCAACAAAACACAATACAACTCCTCCAAAAAAACCCACTCAACACAGGAACAGATGACCTCTACAATTCTCCTGAACTGAAAACCAGGAGGTTGACAGACGTAGATTTCTACTGGATCAATCCTGTTGCAGTGTCTATCTGCCGAAGCCTCATCCATTCTCCCCATCTATCTGTACAAGAACAAGAGCAAGGCTTAATGAAGGAGTGATCTGAGAGACAAACCTGACAGTCTTGGCATCTACAGGGGAAGTTTGCTGTGCAGTCACTGAAGCTGCTTCTCCTAACCAAAATCAAGAACCTAGCTATTAGATTCTTCCCTCAGTTCTCTCCTCCAAAGTGGTCCAATGGGATGGAGAAACAGTTTTGAGAGGTATAGTTCAGGATGTAAAAAGAAATTGGAGTGCTGAAACATCTTGTGTTCTCCGATCTTGAGATCTGATTCCCATCTGTCATTTTTACTACTTAGATAAAACATCAGCAGGATTATACTGGAGGGAAATAAGTGTCGTGGTTAATTAGAACCAGGTCCAGGTTGCCAGTGGAGTCAGCAGAGTGCCTGATGATGCAGATGATCTTTTTACATAGACTGTTACATTGACTTTATTAGGTGGAACTGCTTTAGTAAGGCTTATTTACAAGGGCTATTAGAGAAGATGTGCTGCCAACTACTTCTGAATCTAGTTCATCCAAAATCCACAAGAGAGATGCTCTAGAGCTAACAACAATTTCCCACTAACCTAGAAACAGATCATTATCTAAAGAAAGCTACCCTCAACTTTGCTGTGCATCAGCACCTTGCTTGCATATTCTTGATTAAATGGTTTACATCAGCACTTCCCAACAAAGAGTTTTCTTTCAGAAAGGTCATTGACTCTGAAAAGAGCAGAAAATAAAACCAAATAAATCTGGCAAATGAAGCCTATTAGTTACTTCTTCATGATATAATCTTAAGAGGATATAATTAAAAATTCAGTGCAACATGATGCCTTGGTTACTTAGGATTTTCTAACAGTATCTTCTCGTAAATAATATTCATAGGAAATAAAAATCAGATGCACAGAAAACAAGTAACATGCTGCATTTATAGGAAAGCTTGATTGAATGGGCAGTTGACTGAGTTTTGTGCCTGTTTCTAGTCTCTGTCTACTTGTAAAATCCAGCTGTGTTTTTCTTTTTTCCAATCAAACTGTACTACTGGCCAACATTTTAGGAAAAAAAAATACATATTTTGAAAGGCTAAACATTTCTGAGAGTGCTTTTTGAACAGAAATTTGGCAGTACCACACTGTTGACCTCAGCCCTTTTGCCCTACAGGCTTTGCTATTTTCTAGTTATATGACTAACAGGTTCATGTATATTCACAGCCATAAGATAGATGTGTTTATAACAACATGAATGTCATTGCCTCACTTACCTATCTAACTTTTACTCCCTATATTTTTATTGGAGGTGGATTTTAGGAATAGTGTTCTTCCTCTTCTGTATATCCATACAGACTATAGACTATTCAGAAACATATAAAGTGGTCCAAGTTACAACGGCTACAGCACTCGTCCTCCATACTGCGACCACGAAAGATCCAGCTCGGTTACCACACAGCATCCAGCACTTTCTAACAGTTACACCCTTAATCCTGATGCCTCTGGCACTTAACAACAATTTACTGTTTTACTGAAGTCTGCAGTTTCAGATTGCATGGGAAAGTGGGCATATTACCATGTTAAGGGTACACAGAAAGGGAAAAGGAAGAATGAGTCTGTTCAAGACAAACTGTTTCAGGAACTGCAGAACTTTTTCTTGTGTGTATGTCTCACCTCTCTTCTTGTTTCTGCTGCAATAGTCTCCTGTTTGCATATCTCCTTACCTATCTCAAACCAGCCACCACCATCTTCCTTCCTGTGGATAATTCTCTAACAGAAGAATTTATCCTTCCTGTGCAAGTCACCAATCTGGGCCTCCTTTGATGAGAATCTCCATCAAGCTTGTAAGAACACGGTATTTTGAGATTCTGAGTCCCCTTTTTTTTTTTGTAAAGTGATCAATGGCAGGTGAAAGGAAAAACAAATGGCATGACTGCATGAAGCCATGCATTGTCACAAAACCAGTTTGAAAATTTTATATTTAAAGACACACTAACTACCTATGCTGATGTACATTGGTTTACAAATGAGACAAGATAAATGAAAGTTCAGGTTGCCATCACACTTAAGAGCACTAAATAACAGGCAGTTAGAAGGATAATTAAAACCAACAAAAGTTAGTTCCAATTTGGTTTGCATTAAATTAACATAGCTAATTTATCTGTGGCTGCTGAAGACTAAACTGCAAATCAAATTCTCCAGTTAATACACTTGTCTGGTTCTGCCCACTGGTAAGGGAGCGGACTGAAAGATTAATCTTAGCAGATTCTCTGTCCAAACCACTATTCCTTTCTGTCTCCACCCCAGTGACAGCTAAGATAAAGTTAACCTTCATCAACTTAATCTTTCATAGGAGAGCAGGACATTCTCTGGAAAGATATCCTCAGGAATTGCCTTTTCCATTAGATTTTGAGTGTTATTCTCTTCAAAAACCTGAGCAGAAATCGAAATAAGGCTGAGTGTCCTGACTGAAGATTAGCGTAACATATGATTTATGTGTGTATGAGGATTAAAAAAAAGTTATTCAGAGCTACTGTATAAACTCCTTTTTACTGCATTCTAGTCAGTGGTAATTTTTTATTTTACTGTGTATTATTTGAATCTTGTGGATGCATTCGTAGTATTAAACTAAATATTTCAAAGACCATTCTTTGGCACAGAGGCCAACTGGCAATGAACAGTCCATGTCCATGCTATTCAGTGATTTTACATCTAAAATAGCGTGCTTATATACAAACTGTCTACTAAGAATGATTCCTGGCCCAAGGCAGCTCCCAAAACATGCCTAGAAATTTTTCTGGAGTGCTAACTGGCCATGATAAAAACCATGTTAAAGGCTCTTCTAATCAGTAAGATTTGAGTTCAAATGCCCAGGAACATTCTCTGGAAGTGTTTAATCTTCTTGAACAGACATAATCTTTACTTTTAAACTCAAGATGTTGGTGTTTGGGATGGGGTTATGAGTAGCATGTATTTATATAACTTACCATCAGAATCCGACACTGCTGGCTCGGATGCTTGAGATACCATGGAGCCGTCTTCTGGTCTTTCTGCCAAATTATCTCCTTGCAATCTAAATAGTGAAAAAAATGGACAGAAAATATTTGCAATTATATTCCATAGATAAGACACAGAAGAGTATTATCTCTTGACTACATACCCTACTCAACATTGTCTCATTAAAAGAATAGATTTTCTGAAAAGACAACATCCACGGTTCAATCATATCATCCCAGATGGTCTAGTAATCAAAACTAGCTTCTAAGAAACAGTAAACTGAATCCCATTTTATGTATTTTTCTAAGACTTATTTCAACAACAGTGGGGTCTGGTAGTATCATGAACACGAAACTGAAAGTCTCCTTCACTTCAAAAATATTTTAATTGAACAGGACTGTACTGAATGTCAAGTGTTAGCAGTGGAGGGGCTGCAGGGTTGGTGGTGGTAAGGAGAGGCTAGGCCTGCCGTGTGCTGGACACAGAAGGTTCCATCCAGCGCCAGAAGATGCATGGCAGGACACAGCTGAGTCCTTCGGTCAAAACGGTGGTGCCTTGGAGAAAACATAGTTAAAGAGGAGCAAATAATGCCACACAGGCAGAAGAGCAGGGAACAGAAAGAGTGAGAAGCACCAGAGAAAACACCAAGGTCGGAAGAGGAGGTGCTCCATGCTCCAGAGCAGACAGACCCCTGCCACCCGTGGTGAGGTACATTTCAGAGCCAGTATCTACTACAGTCTGTGGAGCACCCACACCAGGTCGGGGGGATATGCCCTGGAGAGAGTGCGGCCTGTGGAGAACCCATATGCAGGTTTCTTTCCTGAAGGATTGCAGCCCATGCAGAGAGCCCACACTGGAGCAGGTGAAAACTGTGAGGAGGGGTAGAGAGGACCCATTACAGGCTGACTATGACCCCCTCCACATTCCCTGTCCCCTCTGCACTCTTCAGGCAGTTGGGGAGGCATCTGCAGTGACAGAGTGAAGTTGGGTCTGTGAAAGGGAGCAAGAAAGGGGTGGTTTTAATGTTTCTCGTTACCCAGATCCATTTTAATTGGTGATGAATTAAATTAATTTTCTCCAAGTCAAGTCTGTCTTGCCCATAACAGTAACTGGTAAGAAATTTCCCAGTTTCTATCTCAACCCCCAAGCTTTTTCATCCTATTTTCTCACCTCGTCCTGCTGAGGACAGCAAGAGAGAGAGGAGCTGTGTGGAGGGTTGGCCCTTAGCCAACATTAACTCACCACAGGGAAATACATGCAAGAATACTTCCTCCTCCTTCATTAATTTCTAAAAGAAAAATACAGTGATTACGGCAAGCTTCATCTCCAGGCTTTCCGCCTGCATCAGCTGGCTGCAATGCCCTGACAGCAATTTACAAAAGTAGTTCTCATATCTGCTCTTTTAAATGAGCGCCTCAAGAGTCCCACCATCCTTCTTCAGGCACTTATGAATCCTGAGTACAAATTCTGCTCTGAAGAAATGGTTTGTAGCTCTTAACACAATATCACTGCCATTTACATAAAGGTTATCTTACCTTGAATTTATTCAGACTTGAAAAGAATAAAAAAATATGCAATTCAATTTTACAAAGTCCAGGAATCATAAAAATGCATTGAAGTAAAACCTTAGGGAAAGAAATATGTTATCTTTTAGAAAAAAAAGTTCCTTTCACTCTGCATTCTCACTCTCTGCTGTTGCTTTGTACTACACTTTGAAAAAACTTTTGAAACCAAGCAGAACCCCCATATCTGCCTTATCTGAATTTCACAGTTTATAACTTTCACAGTTATTTAACATACCTGGATCTTAAGTAGTCTAAATGTTTGTACCTTCTCAAAACGATTCCCCCACACCCCCTTAATTACCTTATTTCCTTTTATTGTCCCTGGGATGGTTTACTTATGATGGAAAGCTCAATGTAAATTCAAAATTACTCTTACCCCTTACCCGAGGAGGCAGTTCCACAGAATACAAAACTCCCCAAGGCCACAAAAGTTGTAAAATTAGAAGCTATAAACCTAATTTTGACAATTACTTCTGTGAATACTTCATAGCTCTATACCTCATTTGTAACGCTCTAGTTACCAATTCTTTAAAAGTCTAGTTTGTCAAACAGGCTCTTCTAAAGATGACAGTCAAACAGAAGCAAATAACTGTGTACTATTATGATAAAGATATTCAAATAGGAAGAAAATAAAGTGCAAACGAAATAATCATGTGAAAAAAGAAGATCTCAAAAATCATATAATTTTCCTTTGCATTAAAATTGACCTGTTCTCCTTCATTGCATACATACATATGTTTACTGCAAGCACAAATAGTATTGCTCACCAAAGGAATTCTGTTACTTGGATTATTCTGATTTCTTCTTCAGTAGTAATATTATTCATAAGACACCTCCACATTAAAATGAAAACACTTAAAAATTCTTAAGTAATAGATTATAAAGGAACACACATCTAGAAGATCTTTTGAATGCTTCAGAAGCTCATTACACAATCAGAAAAGTATTTTCTCATCTGTCCTCGCCTATGCTGTTTTCTTCCTTGGCTCATTCTTGCTGAATGTCTTCCAAGAAAAGTACGCTGCACCATGCTGCAAGCATCATTAATGCCGGAAGGCCAAAGCTATGAGATCCATTTTTCTGGTCCCTGATACTACAGCAGCATTTTCATCTCCAACTGTTTTAAACTCCAAGGTAGACTTGCTTCACCAGATACCAGAGAGAAATTCCCTTAGCAAAAATAGGTAAAATGAAGAACAAAATATTGTGTTGCAACTTCTCATACACTGCTTTGGAAAAGGCGATTATAAAAAGTGCAATGTACAGGAACATCATATCATTGTTTGCAAAACAATCTAAAATTAGTTGAGTTTTTCCAGACTGGTGGCTACCTTTGAAAATCTTGGTTATTCTCAATGTGTGCTCTTAAAAAAAACAAGCCAAACCAAAACAACCAACCAACCAACCAGTCAAGTTACCTAGAAATTATTATCTTACTAATACTTTATGGATTATATCAGTTATTAACCAAAACATTATTTCAGCTATTAATGTTTTAAATGAGATTCTAAACTTGATACCTGATAGCCAACATTTTTTTCCATATACCTTGTGTTTACAGTGTGATCTTTTCCTTAGAAGCCATTGTTTCCATTACATTCAACCATCTGCATGTTGGAGCTTGAAGAGCTACAAAGGCAAACAGCTTCCAAGCAAGTCTTTCAATTTCCTTTGACCCAAAAATGCATTCTGCACAACTTGTTCCAAGAAAACTGCCCAGGACTTTAAGACCAAAGACATTCTGAATAAATTCTACAGGATGGGTGCAGCAGCATTTACACCAGGTCTGTCACTACAAACAAGCTTGTGGGTGTGTGAAACATAGTCGTACTGTCAGTATGATTTAGAAAATATTATACTATAAGAGTATACAAAAAGGGGACAAAATTTCACCTACATTTCTTGAATGAGTCACAGCATAATAAAATCCTATATTGCCTCATTAGAGGAAGGAAGTTGCAAATAGGAAATAAAATTACAGATTTTTTTTTTCATCCACAATCTTTTTTTGGGTCTAAAAGTTAATCCATCTTAAATTTTCACTGTAAAAGCAAAAAATTACTTCAGCATGCACAAAGGTGATACAAAACCAATACTTCATTTTTCATTCATTAACACATTTATCTAAATGGATTATTCTAATGTTTAAAATCATGACCATGTTAAGTGCATTTTCGTTAGGGTGTTTTGCTTTCTTAAAACATAGATAGTTGGAGAACAGGGCATGTCATCAAGATGAGCATATTTCAATTTGATATTTCAGTAGAAGTAATTTATTTTACCAGATGAAAAAATACTAAAATGAAACTATTATATGAATCCTAGATGCTAAATTGAAATGAAAATGAGGTTAACTCTGTGATTTACATCACATAACCTCTCACCAATGAGGCTGTGTGAAATAACCTACATAAAACCCCATTCTGACTAATCTGACAAGTTCTTTTTGAACATCTTCAGTATTTCGCTGGCAATTTTTGAGTGCTGGATAACACCTCAAAACACACTGTTCTATGATATCACAATTCCCAACAGTCTTAATGAAACACTTGTAAAACCCTATAATCACAGAGCTGGAAAAGAACTCACTCATTGATTTCATCGTGCAGGCAGTGCAAGAAGCAATACCCTAGAGAAGTATCAGATACTAGTTCCTTCTCTAGTTCCATTTGCTGCAAAAGCAAATGAAATAAAGCAGACTAATGGCCATAAACATTTCAAGTTATTTCCATTTTCAAGATGACAGAATGTTCCCGGGGAATTTTACATGGATTAAATATGCAGCACATAAGTATCTGAAACATGAATTTAGTGACAGGGACATTGTATACCATGCAGGTGTGTGAAGGATTCAGTGCAGATCCACAATTCCTGCCTGGTAGATGAGCTCTCTCTGGAAGAGACTGATAAAGTCTCAAGCTTCTCTTGTGCCTGACCTTTCAGAAAGACCTATTCTAGCACTCTTGAGCTTTTCTGATGGCACAACTTAATGAAGAAACGCCTCATGGACTAACTTGATTTTCCTTCATAGCAACCTCCTCATCCTCCTATTCTGTTTTCAAAGCCAAAAACACTCCCATAGCAATCCAATCATTACTATCGGGAGAAAACACTGAGTGAATCTTGATTTTACTTCTAGCATTACTAGCAGCTGAGAATAAACTGGCACAGTATGTGCAGTCATTCTGCAAGATCAGCTTTGCTTTGAGCTTGAATGGTCATCTAGCATATTGTGTTTCTAGATTCTACTGTCTGTTTGAATCAGATTATAGAGTCAATTTCTTCCAAGTATTTGGATAAAGCAAAGGATATTCTGTTAGTACTAAAGAAGGAGTGAATGAGTAGTATGAATGAATACATGCTGTCACACTGATTTTCAAGTCAACAGTGAGATTTCCATAGCAGCAACATATTCCTCTCCAGATGACTTTGAAAAAAAAATAGTTTGTTAAATTTACCAGTAATTCCTTTGGTTGTTTTAACATATGCTACTTAATTACACCAGAAATAT